TTTTTTTTTTTTATACAATTGATAAAGCTAATTAATTAATGACACAAGAATGCTACGCCCGACGTGTTCTCTTCCAAGAAAGTGATGAGACCAGGTGGAGGCGAATCAAAAATTGTGGTTCCAGTAGGCAGATTATGCCCAATTTCAGCCATAAAGTCTGCAGCACGATTACCCTCACGTACGGTATGCTGTATGCTAAAGGCAATAAATCCTCCTTTCAAACGACGGATATCGTCCACCAGCACTGCTGCTAGGCTATCCTGTTCCTTGCATCCTTCAATAACTTGCACCGCCAACGAGGAATCCATCTCCACGACTAAGTGACTAATCCCTTTGTTCCTACACAAAATCGTTCCTACGCAAAATCAGTCCTTCCCTGCAACCCCATAACTCTGCCAAGAAAACCGAGATTTGACCAATGTTCACTGAGAAACCTTGAATAAAGGTTCCCGAAGAATCGCGCAACAATCCACCTGCACTTGCCAATCCTGTCTCCTGCATTCTAGAGCCATCCGTATTCAACTTGCAAAAAGGTGGATCCGGTCAGTGCCAACTTATCCAAATAGGGACTTTAGTTTGCACAAATATGTTGCTGGCCATTGCCTGATAAGTATCTAGTGCATAGCTACTTACAAAATCACAAAGTTTAGGGGCTAACAAATTAGCAGCTCTAAATATCATATTATTCCTACACTTCCATAATTGCCATATGGTGGAGAGGAAAAGAATATTAGTGGGCATACCTCCATTTTGCACCAGGGCCAGCTTCCTTGAGTTACTCTATCCATTTTGATAAGGGCAATTGGAAAAAAATCCTGTCCCCCCAAGCGGACTTTGTTCCATACCTGAACTGCATATGGTCAATCTCATAGGAGATGCAATGGAGTTTCAATTGCATCGTCACATTGAGGACAATAAGGTGATACAACGATATGTCACTCATAACGGCCAGCATCAGTAAGCACTCTGTTACGCAATACTAATACTACTAAAGTAATTACTACGTTCAAAAAAATAAAAAGGAAAAAAACAAGTGGAAGGAAAATCAAATAGACTGAATTTTAAGCCACAAAGAAAATGCTCATAGGCATGACAGTAACTCATTGTAATAATATCACATTTTACATTCACCGCAAGTTTTTTTTCTTAAATTTTTTTTTTTTCTAAGTCTCTTATATCAAGTTCTGTGGAAAATCTGGATGCCAAAAGTACAACAGGAAACAGTGGAGAATTTTGTTACTGACTTGTTGGGTGTCCCACTGCCATTCCGCAATCCTCTAATCTATATTCTGATTTCGCAACTTTACCCTCAGATCCGATTTGTTTTGGGCAAAATCTCCGCGAGACTGGTGAATTTTCAACTATCTTGTTGCTCGCCAGCTGAATTTTCCAGCATATCTACGGCTTTGTCTGTCTGCATGACATCCCCATTCGCAACACTCTCGCCTTCAACTTTTTCAGGGACATTGCCTTCTGGTTTAGAGATTACAAGATCATCTGATGGTACAAGCTCAGAAAGTTCTGGGCTTGTTGACAAAGCAGTTTTATTTGCTACAGCCTCTGCTGACTCAGAAGCATGATTCTCTGCTGCAATTTCTTCTTGTTTTTGTGCTTGTGCTCTGTAGATGTTTATCTGATTTTGTGTCCTTTCAAGCTCAGCCAAAAGATCTCCATATCGTCTTTGTAGAGTTTGCTCAAGCAGCTTTTGCTTTTGAACCTCCTCCCAGAGATCATTTATTCTGTGTTTGGCTGCTAGCTTCTCCTGCTTTTGCAATGCTTGAAAACATTCCAATTCAGTTCCTGCGGTGTCCATCTGCTTAAAAGTTGACTCAATTTGACGCCACAGGGTTGTAGCTCGTCTCTGATTATCCAAATTATCAATAAGTTAAAAAACATGAAGTTCAGTCATAAACAAGGGCCCATAAAAAGAGGCAGATATACAGCTAATAAAATAGATGAAATCTAAAGAATTCCATGATTCACCCTAAAAAAATATGTATTCCATAGAAACTACTTCTTTAATCATTAATGTTCAAATATTTGGAATTTATGACCTGTACTGGCAAATCATCAACATCTAAAAAATTTTAATTTGCTATGCACGAAGTGGTACAAGAAAAAATCCCTTGAGAGAAACCACAATGGTTTTGGCCATAAAACATTAAAACTACTAAGTTTGATGTCCAAGTTCAAACCTAGAAATGGTAAAGGTTTTATGAAGGGGATGGCTATTCCTTGCTGCATAAAACAAAACCAGATGCACCAATGTGGCAAGAGAAAGCGAAAGAGAAGCTGGCATTATAACTGCAGAGTGAAGTCATGGTTAACAATATAACAAAAGTCCTGCAGCACAAACTAACTACTAAGAAGTAACCTATTAAACATGTGGATTTCACAAATTGATCGTAGAAGTCAGTACTCTCTACCCTGGAGTTTTGGATTCCTCAAGGTGCAGATCAAACCTTTAGGTCCTACGAAATACCAGCTGTGAAGAACACCCAACCAAAATAGGCATGGCATAGGTGTAGGTCTACTGACAAATTACTTATAGGCATTTCTAAAAAGATCAGTCTAAAATCATAGAGAAGCATTAAAAGATAAAATAAGCACTGGCCATGAAAATGAAAAGGGCAAATAGAATGGTTACGGAACGCTAGGTATAGAATAATCATGGAAAGCTTTTGTCTGACAAGTATAAGACTGTAAGTTCAACATTAAATGCATTCTTTTGACACACATGCTAAATTTATCAGAAAAAGGGGGGAGAAGGGGGCTGAAGACCAGCCTCATCAAAAGGAACATTGAAAACTGGAGTTAGATATTCAAAATATCAAGCTACAGATTAAAATAAAAATGGGAATAAAATTACCAAAGGAAATAAAAAAGAAGATTAGCATCTATCCAATAACAAACCTCATAACCCTGTGTGAGAACATTGAACTTCTTCTCAAGGCTTTCTGCCTTCACCTTGTCACCATCCATCTTCTTCCTCACATTATCATACTCGGTCTGGAGTGCTGCAAGTTTCTCCATATTGTTAGCAACACTAGAGAGACCATATGCATTACGAGTAGGGAAGTACATAAGATCATTTAGGCAGGTATTATGTGCTTCAACAAAATCATCAAGCGTTTCATTTTCATGCCCCATTGCCACATGAAGATACTCAGCCTCCTCTCTTATCAAAGAATCAGCCTGCCAAGAATGATATGTATGCTCATTTAGCAATTTGCAAAATATCAAAAAATATCCTCATAAATTAACTACAATAATACAAAATTCAAGAATAATGATCCACAAGAAGAAATCTCAGGATCCAACACAACAGAAGACAGAATGGAAAATAAGTTATAAACCAAACCAAATCAAACTTCAAATAAACTAAAATGCAATGAAGCTGTATGTGCATCACATAAATGTACATACTACTATGACAAGATTTGAGAAAATTAAGGAAATACCAGAACCATTTAAGAGAGGGAAGACATTTCAACTTCCACAGTATAAACCATGAATATGCACCGAGAAATGGAAGAAAATCAAGGAGAGATGAATGATTTTTTCCAGAAATGAACTTCCATTGCATGTGGATTATTTTTGCCCAAGGATTATTTTTGCATTAGGCAGGGGAAGAAGCTGCCAACTCAAGTACTATGGTTTAATAATATTAACATGGCAGTTGCAGCGAGAGTGATTTGAAGGAAAACTATTCATGTTCAAGATGTCCATGATCCATCCAGAAAAAGGTGTTTCACACTTTTGAACTATAAACAATTCCAAGTTCTTTAATTAAGAAATAAAATTCTATTGAGCAGTATATTTCAAACCAATTTGCAAATCCAAATTTAAAATCCACAGAATAAATGAAAAGATGGTAGCAATATATCCTGATTTTAGATCAGGTAAACATATAATATATCAAACTATTGCTACTTAAAAGGACAGAGAACTACATTTGTAGAAAATCAAACTAAAGAATATGCCTTTGAATCACCGACACATGACTTCAACTCCAATGGTCTAATAGAAACTAGCCTGGAAAGTTATAAATAGCACAGAGAAACCATGATAATAGCATTACATTCATTCACCAAAGTGACAACATAAACTCACAAAAAGAAAAGGAGATGGGGATGTATGACTTGAAAAAAGGTCACCATACCTCTTTAACTTCATCTTCTTCAAAATCCTCTATGACAGGGACAGATTCATTTGCAGGGCGCTTGACTCCTTTCTTCTTCCCTTTGATTGCTCTTTCCTCAAGTGGATACTTTGCATTGTCATGTTCCAGCAAGGCCAGAAGCTCCTTTCTTATCATTTCATCAGCCTGCTCAATTGAAGTAGGAGGAACAAAAGAACTCTTGTCCACATCAGTTCTCATCAAAGAATCTCTAATAAGCTCCAATGATGCAGCAGGTGGTCTGGGGAGCTCCCTCTGCAGCACTTTTGATCTTTTCCGTAGTAATGCCTGCTGCCGTGCTTCTTCCTCAGCCTTCTCTCTGGCTAGCCTATCAGACATGTCTTCTTCAATCTTCTGCTCCGGTTGTTCTTCATTATCTTCTGGAGGGGGTTGGATAACTATCTGGTACTCATTCTTGGGCTGTGGAAGACTGCCAAGTCCAGACCGCAAGTTCCTTCTCAGATCAGCTTGTCTTCTCTGCTCAAGTTTAGCACTGTCCTGCATATCCAAATCTTCGTTTATGTGGAGCTCATCCCTAATTGGAGTTCCTTTTGGTGTCATTCCAAAAGAATAGCCATCTCTTGAAGGTGTCATGCCAATTCTAGGAGTTTGACCAGCAACTCCAGGAGTCATTGAAGGTGTGAGCATCGGGTTTGGTGTGTGGATCTCTCTTTTCTTAGGAGTAACCCCTGAAAAATCTGAAGGGTGCAACTCTGGATTTTCTCCTCCCAACAATGGTGTCTGAGACTCTCTCAATCTGGCAAGATTTTCAGCTTCCATCATAATAGCATCACCCTTACCAGCAGGTGTTCTTTGTGGGGTTCGTAATGGTGTCATCCCCTGCCTTGGTGTCTGAGAATAATTTGCAAGAAGAGCACGTGTTGCACCACTGCCTTCGGTTAGCTCCTCACTCCCTGCAAGAAGATCACTAGCATAGCCCATCTTTGCAATCTCTTCCAGTTCATGATCAGAAATCTGAGGTGCTGGGAGCATAAGCTTTGATCTCCTCCTGACTGTTTCAGGATCATTCAGCTTGTTGGCCTGCAATATAGCTGATGGAGCATCCTGCCTCTGAGCTATTTTATTCTTTGCAATGTCCTGCTTTCTCAGTTGGGCTTCTACATCAACTCTTCTTTTTCCCTCGAGCTCTTCAATAGTAGTTGGGAACTTGACCTGCTCCACAGGCCTATCCTCATCAGTAACATCAAAAAAACCTGGGGGAGGCCTCTTCTCAAATGGGATTTCTGCATTGTAATCAATTCCCCTCCTTTTCCTCTTGCGTTGCCTAGTGTCAATTCCAGCAGCCTTAAGTTCTCTTCTTTTCTGCAAAGAAGCAAGCCTCCTGGCCTCCTCAAGCTGCTTCTCCCTGGCTTTCCTCTTTGCCTTCTTCCCCCTAGTGTTGGCTAATCGAGCTCGAGCTTCAGAAAGCATTTCTTTCTCATCCTCATCCATATCAACTGGATCTGGACGTGCAGGTTTTGACTCAGGGTTAGGGTCAATCTCTCCTGGGCGCAATTTCCTTGGGTCATCACCTGGCTCATAGTTCTCATCTTTTGCACAGGCTGCATCAAGGAGTTTCTCATACCTTTCAAGGCACTGTGATGGAGTACGGCCAACAATTGGTGCTATTGTCCTCCACTGTGTAGGCATGAGCTTGGCAAGATGAAGAAGTTTCTCATCCTCCTCTCTCGTCCACTCGGTCTGTGAATGTCATTGATTGATAATTGTTAGTTGTGTTAAGCTCACACTTAATTTTAATGAGTAATCACAACAGCTGCCAATAAAACCCAGAAGAAATGACACTAGTTCTCCACAAATATAAACCCAGATTTCACAATCCTATTCCTATCATGGAAATTGGAAACTATAAACACAAGCAAAACAGTAAAACCCAAATTTCATAATGCAAAAGATTACTACTACAATGTACCGTGGCATTGGCAACAACAACCCAACATAAAAACAGCTAAAAAAAAGAAAAACAGAACCCAACAAAACACATAATCATTTTTTACGAGATGAAAAAGAATAATGCTTTACCTTCTTAATGGAGGGGTCAAGCCACTCGTACCAGCGAGCCTTGCACTGCTTGGCCGACTTGCGAACAAGTAGGGAAGAGATTCGCGCCCACTGATTTTTGCCATATTTCATAACCGCAGCCTTCAAAATCTCATCCTCCGTGTTCTTCCACACACCTCCCTTTATCATAATCCTCATCTTGACTCCTTTTTTCCTTTACCGCTCCTCTCTCCACCAAATCAAAGTCAAGAAAATCGACACTACTCCTCTGCACTTCTGTACTCCTCTCCCAAATTGAGATGAATCAAACCCAAGCTTGTCTTGCTCTTAAATCTTCCCCTCTAGATTAGGGTTTTTGTTTCTTTCGGTAGAGTGTATGATTACGAAGATGGAACTGGGAAAAAGAAAAGGCGAAATGAATGCCAAAAAAAATAAAAATCTAATATTTGTGGATCCTGATACATATTTGAAGCAGGGTTTATGCGAAAAACGTAAAAATGGGCCAAATCGAACAAAATAAGTTTTTTTGATATACATATTTTTTTGTGAATAGAAAAACTAGGTTAATTTTACCAAAATTTTAAGATTTTTAGCACCAAAATTTAAAACTAAATTTGGAGACGAAATTACTTCAAGTGCTGATTATGTTAATTTAAAATTATTACAAAAATTATTCAATTTTATACGTTATTTACGGATTTTTTTAGTTATTTGAGTTTTAGAGAATTTTAAAAACTCAAAATAATGAAATTTGTCGTTTGGATGTGACGTTTTAATATTAATTTTGTTTTTTATTAAAATATTTGTTAATTGTTGTATATCATTACCTTATAGAATTTTTTATAAAAAAATGTCAAGATTGCTTGCCATGTTAAGAGCAAAAACCCTAGCTTGTTTAGTTAAACCTTTTAGTATTGGTTCCAATTAAAGGATTTCAAGTTATCGTTTAGATTTTAATGTTTGTACTTTGTGTTATTCTTGAATTTTGAAATGTTTTATTTTTTATTTTTATTTTTTTTGTATTTATATTAAAAATGTTAATGTTTTACTGTTTATTTTACGTAAATTGTATATCTTATAATTATTTATAAAAAGAGAATTACTTTAATATTAAAAAACTCATCAATATTTATAAAATGTGTGATTCACACAAGATACATTTGCACATCACTTTTCCATATATGAAATATTAATTATTTTTATAATTTTTCTCTATTTAAAATTATTTGACAAATAAATATATATTTATTTATTTACTTTTAAATTATGTGGTTTTCTCATAACTTGAAGAGTTTATTTGATTCCTTTATAACTTAAAGAATTTTTCATCTAATTAAATTATAATATTTTCAACTATTACAATTTAATTTGTTAAAAAATTTATGCCTTCCCTCCCTCCCTCACCTGCATTTCCTTTAAACCAACATACTCAAAGGTTCGAGTAGTGAATTAGGCAAACCAAGGGCTTGAATGGTTTGGCTTTCGGTCAAGCTCATACAACCATGTCAAGGGAAAATGAAAATATGAGAACATTCCTTTAAACAATATACAAACCAGACCATGAAAACATTTTAAACTCTAAAAAATAATCCAAACACTTTCAGATGTCCAATGAAAGAAAGAAAGAAAAAAAAAAACCCATTTATACTTCCCAGTTCCCACTCTAAAGGACACAGGAAGGCATTTTTTAGCTTTTTTTTAATGAGTATCATCTCAGTCAAACTCTTGTTGGCAGTGTTTTTCAATTGAAAGTACAAGGATATACCATACAAACAAATTCAGAACAGATCGATGAAATCCACTCAAATGATCCAAAAAAGAAGGAAAAAGAAACAGATGAAAGATTTACACTACCATTCCCACAAATGCAAAGGTTAGGACTTAGGTATGAAACAAAGGTCACCCGAGTAAAAAAGAAACAAGGCAGAAGTTGAACTGAAGAGGGTTTTTGGTAATTGACTTGAAAATTCATTGGGACCAATTGACCCATGAATATTGAACCAAGAATTGCATTTTTCCTCAGCATGTAAAACTTTCATCTCCTTTCCCACAAAATTTGACAGCCAAAGCTAAAACATATCAGTAAACAACCTGCTGAAAATTGCCTCAAGTCTCCCCCAAACTCATCACCGGTAATATGATGCCATAATGTAGAGCGCAACGGCTGATGCGGTGGTGATAATGAGTTCCTGCAAGCGAAAATTTGGCATTAGGGCAAAGTAACAATACGAGCAAGAAGACTGGACAAAGGCTACTGTACATACTGTAATTGTACCTAGTATTTGATTTTTCACATGACTTTGCTTTATTAATTAAGAACTACCCATAAAAATGATTAACTAAAGGCAGTGAAGTAGATATTTGAAAGCCAAAAGCTGAATAGAGGATAAGCATTTCTTTGATGACGGAAAATGTAATCAATTATCAGACAGGTGGACAACTCAAGAAATTTGAAGAGCCATTTAATGAGACGATATGGCCAATGAGGGAGTTGGTCTCAAGGGAATTTAAAATTTCAAGTTGAGAAATTTGAGTCACTAAATGAGAGGGTCACAAGGGAATTCAAAGTCTCAAGCTAAGACTGGTAAATAGACACAAATGTCCTCTGGCTTGGATTCTGATTTCTGGATGATTTGAAGAACATAAGTTTTCCACATATTAGAATTCAGAGGCCAACCAAGTCACATGAAATTAATGTATTGCATATGCACTATACTACTCCAGGAAGTGTGTGAGAGTGGAAATGAAACACTTGAGAGAAATCAATTCCCACAGTGATCTGTTATTCTTGAAAATAGGTCAATTTGCTACCTGATTATTGTAAAGAAAAGCAGGTATATAATTGAGAAAATACTCCATCAAATTCAGAACACCAGTGTAAACCTGCAAGAGATTTGAGTTGTAAAATTCATCAGCAAGGGTGCAAAAAAAGAAATAAAAAAAAAAAAGCAACAAGATCTAGAGACAGTTGAGTATGAATCTAATAACCAATGAAAAATAAAATTAAGTTGGAATCAGGATGAGGATTAATTTGATTGGCATAGGCAAGCTTTTCATTCAAGCAAATGAGAGTGAGAAAAATCATCAGAATTGCTGATTACTCATGTATGGTAAATTAATAAATTATCAACATTAAATCTCCAAATTGACAATGCAAAAACAGTTATAAAACAACAAGAGATTATCAAGGAAAAAAAGTAAAACAAGAGAGAACCATGAAGCAAGTTCACTCTTTCTGGTTGGGACCTTACTATCAGGAAATGTGCCACTTGAAATTGAGCGGTGACTTTAACCCATCTATTTCACTCAAGTTCTATGGTTTTATTTCTCTCAGTAACTATATGATATTTTTGCCTGATCAAATGAAATGCTGTTCAAGAACTTCTCAAATATTTGGTTTCAGCAATGACTGTTACTTTGAAAGGCAGATAACCAAAAAATGGTTTTCCTTTTATGCTTCTCTTCCAAATCACGAGAACTAACCTTTTTTTTTTTTGGCCATCAATGAGGTCTAACCTATTGAAAATGTGAATTTTCAAGCATGACAGAAGGATGACAGATATAAATAAAAAAGAACATGACAGAAGGGTCAAAACATCAAATATCTTGAAAATAAAAAAAATTCCATCTTATCCAACCTTAAAACAAACAATTAATCAGTTTTCACCATCAACATTTTCATTTAATTACCAGATTTACATGTTTTCAGATGTATTTGCTTTTGCTACCTGCAAGCTTATCATCAAAGCTTCATAGACCTCTATACATTATGCAGTTGAGTGATTATTTGGTCTGCAACAGCAGACACCCTGAATGCAGCCAGGTTGAGTGACCATGACCTATGACAGCTTGTTCGTATGCATGTCAATACTGTTGAACCAACTCCCTAGTCCTATGTTCAACTGTAATGAGGTTCCTGTGATTCTTAAGGTAGGCCATGTATTCTACACTAAAAATTGAATCATCAGAAGACATAGAAGTCTAATGTTATAACTGGTCAATTTTGCAAAGCAGAGAAAGTTGAACAATGTAACATACCAGATAGGACATGGTAATAAAACCAAAAACTCTTATGAAGTTCTTGTGATTCTAAAAGGTAGGTCATGTATTCAAATCTAACAATTAATTCATCAAAAGACATGAAAGAGCAAGCTTCTAACAGGTCAACTTGACAAAGGTGGAGGAAATTGAACAATATTACATACCAGAGAGGACACGGCAATACAACCAAAAACTAATGCAAGAGAACGAAGAAGTCGCTTTCCCATCCGCTGTCCCCGCCCAACATCTTCTCCTTCTTCCTACAGAAATAAACAATTATAATCTCAGTTCTCCAATATGCAGCATCACCATTTATTATAGGTAAAGGAAACATTGAATTTGTCAATCTAACTCACTGTAAATATTGGCGATACTGGAGGTTCATAGGCTGTCAACTTCTCAAAAATTCGATAAACAAACGCAAAAGCCATAAACTGCAATGGTTTGTATTCAGCATCACGACTGAATACAATCCAAACTGTCTGCACAAAAGACAAATAAATGATGAGAAGCAAAAGCATAGAAACAAGAATGTAGGCCACAGATAAATATCTTTACTTACAAAAGCAGCTGCAATTGCCAAGTTTATGCGTATATCTTTTAAACTAGACTTGGTGAACCTGAAAAGATATCCCTTGATAAGATGTTTAAGCTGTTTGACTTTCTTGATAGCTAGTAAACAGAACTTTTGAAAGTAAAGTAACGAGTTAACTTTCAAATTTTCCAAGAAAAATGTTTTCTCCATATAGATTGATAGAAATGTTTTCCTGTCCAAAATCTTGCATATGGTGAAAATCATTAACCAGTTTGTTCTACCCAACTATATGACTCAAATCATTTTCATTACCATGTTTGTTGTATTGGTGACAACAAAAATAGTAAAAGCATAACAGACTTTCATGGTCATAAAAAACTAAAAACTAAAAGCAAGCATCAAAATGAGACAGTTGAAAGCATCAAAATGAGACAGTTGAAAGCATCAAAATGAGACAGTTGAAAGCATCAAAATGAGACAGTTGAAAGCATCAAAATCTTCATGCTACAAGTTAAAGTGGCAAAACCTTGGTCCCCACGGTACAATTGGCTGCTTATCAGCATATTTGATGTCCTTTGAAACCTGAATTCAGAAGTATTTAAGATAATACTCAAAATAAAATAATATAAAAAATGGCTATGATTACACTTTATCCAAGTGTTCTTTCTCTTCAAGTAGGTTCTTCATCTATTTCTATATAAATGAACTTTTACAACTAATCAAAATGATGATCCAAGAAAAAAAAAAGATCAAAAGAAAAAATATATTGTCATACATGTATATGTAAACATGTGGCAAGCATGCAAAAGGGGGAAAGTCAACTTGACACCATGACAACAAAAAAGAAAAAATCAACTTAATACCATAAAATGTAAAATTGAAAATGAAATAGGAAAAGCATCTAAAGATAAATGGTTAACATTAATGCTAAAAGAGGCAAATATCCTTGATTAAATTAGCTACTTATTGGAAGCATCTAAAAATACTCCTGTTCTTCCCCAACTAGGATACAATTAAGTGATACTACATGGAGCAAGGAATCCAAATTTTGAACACTTCCTAGGTACAAATGCACAGAGATTTATATGCACATGTTTTCACAGTAAATCAATATATTTTACTTAAATAAGAAAAATGAAATATTATGAACTGTACCTGGAATGACCCATATGTCACACCCTTCTTTCTATTTGTTAACTGTGCCATCATGAGTTTGTCATATGCCTTCTCAAGCTAAAAAAATAACATATTGAAACCACAGGAGTAAAGGATTAAGGGAAGGTACTCATGATCAGCCTATGTAGTTATCCAAAAAAAAATCTCAAAATGTATTTATTAAAACCAAACAGCCTTTTCAAGCATAGATTTCATTTTAAGAGACTTGTAACATACTAGAGCAGCAGTAGCCTCATCACCATTCCTCTCAGCATCCTTGCGCTTTCTAGTATATGCTGCCTTGACCTTGTCAAACCCCGCAATGGGGCTCACACCAAGAATCTGAGACATGCAAACATTATACACATCGATTCAGCCAGCAGGAGCTAGACTGTCATAACATAAAAATAAATCAACTGTAAGAATTGCAGCTACCTCATATGGGTTTAAGTCACTATCTGGGCTAGAACTTCCTGCTGCAGAAGTAGCACAAAACAATCTTTGATTCAGCAAAACTCTCCTAGGATATCTGATTAAGTCAACACCATGCTGATATGGTTAAACACTAAACCAGCAGAAAACCCAATCCTTTAAAATAAAGCTCTTGTACTGCATGATGGTAATGTTACAGTCATATCCCAAGTCCCGAATTCAACACATGCATCCTACCCTCTTCCCAAATTTCCCCATATTCAAAAGAAAGAAAAAGTATTCGGTGGGTATTTCATTTCATAAATCCAGAGATCCCACAAACACTTACATGAAAAGAGCAAGTAAATGTAGTGTTAAGGCTTACCTTTCTTCAGTTATAAACAATACTGTAGAGCTTCAAAAGCAATAAAATAAAAGAGCCAGCTCGTATATAACAGCATTTGGCTTCTTAATTTTTGAAAGAGATATCAATTCCAATTTCAATTCACTATATCCGTTGAAGAGAAGACCAAGCAAATGAAGAATAAAAATTTAACCCGATTACAAACAACCCCTCTTCTTCTTTTTCTTTTTCTTTTTTTTTTTTTTAACTCAGCAGCCACGCCATCTCGCAGATTCAAAGGAAGCACAAAAAAAAAAAACCCATAGTGCAAGAAAGAAGAAAGATTTTTCTTTGGTAGTGAAGATGAAATTACCTGAGATTTGAGGATGAGAATTTGGAAATTGAAGAACTGGGAACAAAATTTCTGGATGAAATTTGTGGTTTTGGGTAGAGAAGAAGATTGGAGATTGACAACGCCATGGGATTCGAACAAAGTTTAATGTCGAATTTAGGGTTTTGGGGGTTTAAGGTTTTGAAGTTACCGTTTGATGCTCTGAATTTCTATACTGTCGAAGATGAATGAATGATAAGATGAGAGGATGACAACAAAGGAATTACTAATTCATGTAAATGGAAAAAACCCAAGATGAGCCCTTAATCTTATAAATTCTATAGATTTTAGACCCAAAACTTGAATAATTTAGCCATCATGTTGCAATTCCTTAATTGGGAGGATTCCTCAATTTATGAATTGGCATAATTAATCAATTGATGGTTGGTGAATTGGTGTTAATCCAGATAACCCAATTTGGCATGAAATGAAAAAGTGTAGTTTCCTTTAAATTTATTGTTATGCTTAGTTGGAATCAAAGTAACGTGCAAGTAACTTGAGTATATATTCTAAATGCATGCTCTTGTGTCAGTAGGTGGTCACTTTATAGTGCTAATAGTCATGAAGCATAAGCACAACCTCCTTGCCCTAAATAGGTGTAAGAGATTAGTGGCAATTTTAGCATCTCAAACTAGAGTTGAATTGCAATTTTAATTAGATTGATAATTTGATTTTAGTTTGGGATGGGAAGGATAAGGATTTTATGATGATGTCTCTTTGTGGAATTATGTTATGGCTTGGATAGAGGTAAGTGTAAAAGGTCTCTACAACTACTAGGGTTGATGTTGGTGCTAGGAAAGTTCATATTGGGCTTAATGGGATTGTATCTCGTATTTCCATGTGCGATTGAAGGCTTAGTCCAATCGTAAGTAGATATTCAAGCAAAGATAATATGAGTAAAACAAAAAATATAAGCTTAAAAAATAAACCTATAAATTAGCGATGGTAGCTAAGACTGTTGAAGGATGTAGTTTATGAAAAGCTTTGTAGTGGGCTCAAGGACTATCCTTTGGAAAGGTCATCATGAAACTAATTGTGCAAACATAGTTACATCCCTTAATTATGAAATTTCAACTATGCACTTAACTCTAGACTCTACTCTACCCTCTCAAATTATAGATTGCTTAGAGTTTCCTTTCTATCTTGCACGATCTACCATGTTCATAGGAAAGGAAATTTTGTTGCTCATGAGTTAGCAAAATGAGCTCTTCATGCAGAGGTTGATGAATACTACATTGAAGAAGTGCCAATTGATATTTGCACATTTAGTAATAGGAGATAAATTTGTTGTTTATACTTATTGATTCATGTACCTTTTATCTTTTATATGAAATAAAATGTGTGTAATTCATATTAAAAAACTATAAATTAAAAAAGTTATATTGGCTTAGTGTATCAGCTAAGAACCTTGATGTGTACAATTGCAAGGCAAGAAAAAATTTTAAGGGGGCAAAATGAAATGCTGATAATGAAATGGATTAAAATTGTATAAAATAAATAAACTTTTAAAGATTAAAATAATAAAAAAAACGTTAGTGGACTATATTAGTGATTTTTCAAAAGTTTCCCTGACCTCCCAGCATTGCTGGTGAAAACTTAAAGATCTTTTGGGAAAAAAAAAAAAAAAGAAGAGAGAAAGAAAGAAAGAGGTAACCATGATACCACTTCTACCAAAACTAGAAGTTTAAATAAAAAAACAAGCTTTTAGTTTTATTTTTCTCTTTTGGGCCAACCTTTAACTTCCTGGAATAATGATTTTCCAAAAACCTTTTTCTTTGCTTTAAGGTTAAACCTGGGAAGTATGGAACGCCGGTGATATGACCTCAAACAGAGATGATAAAAATTTGAACTTTTGGTACTTTTACTAATTAAGGATTCTAACATTTTGCATTACTAATTAAGAATGAAAACTTTGTTGATTTATTAATTAAAGACCTCAAGTTTTTAAAAGTTAATAACCGAGGATAAAGAGGAAAAATTCTTCCATACAATGAAGATACCATGTAAGAAATATTTCCAACCATTAATATAGCAATATATTAGTATGTATAGCCTCCACTTGGTATTAAAAACATTAATTTATTTAAGTTCATTGATTATTTAATTAAAAGTGGAGCCACATCAAATGTGTCCTATATTAGCAGACATGAATATTGCTATGTAATATCCTACTTGTATGGAAGAGTTTCTCATAAAATAGATGTAATAGAATTTTGACATGGCCATCTAACATTGTTAGTGGACCCATGGTAAATGCTAACATGGATAGAAAGAACTAAATATTCTGCCCTTATCCTAAATTTCATTTTCTTCGTATCAAATAAACAATTAAGTCATAGAAAAATCACATAATTTAAATGTAAAGAAAATTTTATCTATCAAATAATATCAAATAAAAAAAATTGTAAAAATAATTAACATTCCATACTCAGAAAAGTGATGTGCAATTTGGTCTGTGTAAACTACATATCTTATAATCATTAAATGGGCTTTTTAGTATTGAAGTAATTCTCTTTTCATCGATAACTATAAAATATATAGTTTGTACAGACAGATCATAAAAACATAAGATTTTCAATATAATTATATAGAAAAATGAACAAACTACATTCTAAAATTCAATTATTCAAGAACAACACAAAGTACAAATATTGAAATTTAGAGGATAACTTGAAAACATCTATTTGGAATTAAAAAATTTAAATGAAATTATCAAAGATTTAAGTAATTTAGTGATAATATTTTTTCTTTTATTAAAAGTAAAAAATCCTAAATTTAAATAATATGACATACAAGTGAGGTGACTTAAAATATAAAAGAAAGTTACTTTCTATTATACAATTAAAACAAAAAAAAAAAACCAAATATATTAGGCTCTCTTGTTTTTAAAACGTAAACAATATTGCCCGCAAATTTTTTTTTTTAAATTCTCTAAGGTAATAATATAAAAATTAATAAAGCTCAAACATTTTAATAAAAACATTAATATTAAAAGGTACCATCAAAATGCCAAATTTAACTAATTTGTGTTTCTAAATTCTTTAAGACTCAAATGGTTAAAAAGCCTGTAAAAAGCATATAGTAAAATTTAATAATTTTGGATCATTTTAAATTAACATAATCAATTAAAATAATTTTATGTCAAAATTTCGTTTTAAATTTTGGTGCTAAAAAGCCATTACTCTTTGTAAAATTAAGGTTAAATGTTAATTTTGGTTTCTTAACTTTATAGAGTTACACTTTTTTGGTCCCTCAATTATTTTTTGTACTTTTTTGATCTTTCAACTTTAAAGATTGCATAATTTTGGTTTCTCCGTTTAGTTAAACATGACATGACCGTTAAATAATTCCATATGATATTTTCTTTTAATTCTTTATGGTTTTTTTTTTAAAATTCTTTTGATGACATGGCAATAACATATCTTACAATTATTTTACATGGACAAATAAAAATATCACATTAGTTGAATATTTATATTTTAATAAAAAAAAATAAAAACAAACAAAATTACATTATTAGCTTTCACCCTCTCGATCCATCTTCTTCCCCTTTTTTCTTTCTCTTTCCTACCTCTGGCTTGGTGGAATAGAACCCAACTGTTGGGTTCGGTGGAACCCAAATTGGCTAGTTTGACAAAACCCAACTCTATTGGGTTCCATCAAACCCAGCTATTGGGTTTGTTACGAACCCAAATCGGTTGATTGGTTGGGTTCTTGTTGGGTTTGGTGGAACCCAAATTGGCTGGTTTGACAGAACCCAGCTCTACTAAGTTCCATCAAACCTAGTTATTGGGTTTGTTGGAACCCAAATCGGTTGATTGGTTGGGTTTCGTCGAACCCAACTCTACTGGTTTGACAAAACCTAGCTCTACTAGGTTTGACGAAACCTAGCTTTACTGGTTCAACAAAACCCAGCTTTGTTGGGTTCCATCGAACCCAACTGCTGTGTTCGGTGGAACCCAGATCGATTGGGTTCGACAAAACTTGATTCTGTTGGGTTCGAAGAAACCCAGCTACTGGGTTTAGAATTAGGTTCTATTGATTTCCATTCTTCTTTACAGCTGGGTTTGTTAAGTTCACCATGTTTTCTCATTCTTCTTTTGATTTCCATTCTCAATTCTTGATAAATTTAGGAGTTGATTTACAATTTAATCGCATTTATGTTGGAATTTGATTGGCGTTTGATTGATATTGTTTATTGAGGAGTTAATTTGATGGAGTGGAGATGAGAGAGCATTCAGAGAAGAAGAAGATATGGGTTAAGATAAATTTTGCAAATGGAATAGAGATGAGAGAACATTCTAGGATTCACAAACATTTTACCCCACTTTATTGGTTCTTTACAAGCAATGTGGGACTCGTTTGAAGGGCTTCGGCGCATTTGATTCGCATGAATATGATAAGGCATAATGTCTTGTCCATATCAATACCTTTTTAAGTTGTTTTCTCCATATCATAAAAAAATATAAAAAATATCACATGAACAAAATTAACTATCTAAATTGACAAAAGAATTAAAATGATGTAGTTCTTAGAGTTAGGGATTAAAAAATACAATGCTATAAATTCGAGAGACCAAAATTAACATTTAACCTAAAATTAACTTAATTTTTCTGTTCATAAAAAAATAAAAAAAGTTTTTATTTTTATTTTTAAAATTTCTTTAAACTGAAGTTAAAATTTTTAAAAAGTTCTTTTCAATTTGGCCATTTTTACGTTTTTCACATAAACCCTCTTTCAAGTATGGACCCGATCCACAGATATTAGTTATTTTATTATGACATTAATTTTCTTTTTCCCAGTTCCATCTTCGTAATCATACACTCTACCGAGAGAAACAAAAACCCTAATCTAGAGGGGAAGATTTAAGAGCAAGTCAAGCTTGGGTTTGATTCATCTCAATTTGGGAGAGAAGTACAGAAGTGCAGAGGAGTAGTGTCGATTTTCTTGACTTTGATTTGGTGGAGAGAGGAGCGGTAAAGGAAAAAAGGAGTCAAGATGAGGATTATGATAAAGGGAGGTGTGTGGAAGAACACGGAGGATGAGATTTTGAAGGCTGCGGTTATGAAATATGGCAAAAATCAGTGGGCTCGAATCTCTTCCCTACTTGTTCGCAAGTCGGCCAAGCAGTGCAAGGCTCGCTGGTACGAGTGGCTTGACCCCTCCATTAAGAAGGTAAAGCATTATTCTTTTTCATCTCGTAAAAAATGATTATGTGTTTTGTTGGGTTCTGTTTTTCTCTTTTTTCGCTGTTTTTATGTTGGGTTGTTGTTGCCACTGCCACGGTACATTGTAGTGGTAATCTTGTGTTATGAAATTTGGGTTTTGTTGTTTTGCTTGTGTTTATAGTTTCCAATTTCCATGATAGGAATAGGATTGTGAAATCTGGGTTTATATTTGTGGAGAACTAGTGTCATTTCTTCTGGGTTTTATTGGCAGCTGTTGTGATTACTCATTAAAATTAAGTGTGAGCTTAACACAACTAACAATTATCAATCAATGACATTCACAGACCGAGTGGACGAGAGAGGAGGATGAGAAACTTCTTCATCTTGCCAAGCTCATGCCTACACAGTGGAGGACAATAGCACCAATTGTTGGCCGTACTCCATCACAGTGTCTTGAAAGGTATGAGAAACTCCTTGATGCGGCCTGTGCAAAAGATGAGAACTATGAGCCGGGTGATGACCCAAGGAAATTGCGCCCTGGAGAGATTGACCCTAACCCTGAGTCAAAACCTGCACGTCCAGATCCAGTTGATATGGATGAGGATGAGAAAGAAATGCTTTCTGAAGCTCGAGCTCGATTAGCCAACACTAGGGGGAAGAAGGCAAAGAGGAAAGCTAGGGAGAAGCAGCTTGAGGAGGCCAGGAGGCTTGCTTCTTTGCAGAAAAGAAGAGAACTTAAGGCTGCTGGAATTGACACTAGGCAACGCAAGAGGAAAAGGAGGGGAATTGATTACAATGCAGAAATCCCATTTGAGAAGAGGCCTCCCCCCGGCTTCTTTGATGTTACCAATGAGGATAGGCCTGTGGAGCAGGTCAAGTTCCCAACTACTATTGAAGAGCTTGAAGGAAAAAGAAGAGTTGATATAGAGACCCAGCTGAGAAAGCAGGACATTGCAAAGAATAAAATAGCTCAGAGGCAGGATGCTCCGTCAGCTATATTGCAGGCCAACAAGATGAATGATCCGGAAACAGTCAGGAGGAGATCAAGGCTTATGCTTCCAGCACCTCAGATTTCTGATCATGAACTGGAAGAGATTGCAAAGATGGGCTATGCTAGTGATCTTCTTGCGGGGAGTGAGGAACTAACCGAAGGCAGTGGTGCAACACGTGCTCTTCTTGCAAATTATTCTCAGACGCCAAGGCAGGGGATGACACCATTACGAACCCCACAAAGAACACCTGCCAGTAAGGGTGATGCTATTATGATGGAAGCTGAAAATCTTGCCAGGTTGAGAGAGTCTCAAACACCATTGTTAGGAGGAGATAATCCAGAGTTGCACCCTTCAGATTTTTCAGGGGTTACTCCTAAGAAAAGAGAGATCCACACACCAAACCCAATGCTCACTCCTTCAATGACTCCTGGAGTTGCTGGTCAAACCCCTAGAATCAGCATGACACCATCAAGAGATGGCTATTCTTTTGGAATGACACCAAAAGGAACTCCAATTAGGGATGAGCTCCACATAAACGAAGATTTGGATATGCAGGACAGTGCTAAACTTGAGCAGAGAAGACAAGCTGATCTGAGAAGGAACCTGCGGTCTGGACTTGGTAGTCTTCCACAGCCCAAGAATGAGTACCAGATAGTTATCCAACCCCCTCCAGAAGATAATGATGAAGAACCAGAGCAGAGGATTGAAGAAGACATGTCTGATAGGCTAGCCAGAGAGAAGGCTGAGGAAGAAGCACAGCAGCAGGCATTACTACGGAAAAGATCAAAAGTGCTGCAGAGGGAGCTCCCCAGACCACCTGCTGCATCATTGGAGCTTATTAGAGATTCTCTGATAAGAACTGATGTGGAAAAGAGTTCTTTTGTTCCTCCTACTTCAATTGAGCAGGCTGATGAAATGATAAGAAAGGAGCTTCTGGCCTTGCTGGAACATGACAATGCCAAGTATCCACTTGAGGAAAGACCAAGTAAAGGGAAAAAGAAAGGAGTCAAGCGCTCCACAAATGAATCTGTCCCTGTCATAGAGGATTTTGAAGAAGATGAAGTTAAAGAGGTATGGTGACCTTTTCTCAAGTCATACATCCCTATCTCCTTTTTCTTTTTGTGAGTTTATTTTGTCATGTTGGTGAATGCACAAAATGCTATTATCATAGTTACTGCTCTGTGCCATTTATAACTTTCCAGGCTGCTTTCTATTAGACCATTGGAGTTGAAGTCATGTATCTGTGATGCAAAGGCATCTTCTTTTGTTTGATTTTCTCCAAGTGTGGTTCTCTGTCCTTTTAGGTAGCAACAGTTTGATATCTTATACGTATTCCTGTTCTAAAATCAGGATATATGGCTATTATCTTTTCATTTATTCTGTGGATTTTAAGTTTCGATTCACAAATCATTTTGAAATATACTGCTCAATAGAATTTTATTTCTTAATTAAAGAACTTTGAATTGTTTGATCAAACTTGATGTACAGTTCAAAAGTGTGAAACACCTTTTTCTGGATTGAATCATGGATGTCTTGAACATGAATACAGTTTTCCTTTAAATCTCTCTTACTGCTACTGCCTTTTTAATATTATTGAACCATAGTACTTGAGTTAGCAGCTTCTTCCCCTGCCTAATGCAAATATAATCGTTGGGCAAAAATAATCCACATTCCACATGCAATAGAAGTTCATTTCTGCGGAAAAAATGTTCGTCTCTCCTTGATTTCACTCCATTTCTTGGTTCATATTTCATGATTTATACTGTAGAAGTTGAAATGTTGTTTTCCCTCTGTTAAATGGTTCAGGTATTTCCTTAATTTTCTCAAATCTCAGTATGTACATTTATGTGATGCGCATACAGCTTTGTTGCTTTTTAGTTTATGTGAAGATTGATTTGGTTTGGGTTATATCTTATTTTCTGTTGTGTTAGATACTGAGATTTCTTCTTGCAGATCATTATTCTTGACCTTTTTTTATTGTAGTTGATTTATGAGGATATTTGATGACATTTTGCAAATTGTATAATGAGCATATCATTCTTGGCAGGCCGATTCTTTGATAAGAGAGGAGGCTGAGTATCTTCGTGTGGCAATGGGGCATGAAGTTGAAACACTTGATGATTTTGTTGAATCACATAATACCTGCCTAAATGATCTTATGTACTTCCCTACTCGTAATGCATATGGTCTCTCTAGTGTTGCTAACAATATGGAGAAACTTGCAGCACTCCAGACTGAGTATGATAATGTGAAGAAGAAGATGGATGGTGACAAGGTGAAGGCAGAAAGCCTTGAGAAGAAGTTCAATGTTCTCACACAGGGTTATGAGGTTTTGTTAATAGATAGATACTAATCTTCTTTTTAATTTCCTTTGTTAATTTTATTCCCATTTTTATTTTAATTTGTCACTTGATATTTTGGATATCTAACTCCAGTTTTCAATGTTCCTTTGGATGATGCTGGTCTTCAGGCCCCTTTTTCTTTTTCCCTTTTTTTTTTTTTTTTCTTGGTAAATTTAGCATGTGAATTAAAAGAATGCATTTAATGTTGAACTTACAGTCTTATACTTGTGGGACAAAAGCTTTCCATTATTATTCTATTTCTAGCGTTCCGTAATCATTCTATTTTCCCTTTTCATTTTCATGGCCAGTGCTTATTTTATCTTTTAATGGCTGATCTTTTTAGAAATGCTTTAGTAATTTGTAGGTAGACTTATGCTACACCTTTTCTGGTTTGGTGTTCTTCATAATTGGTATTTTGTAGGACCCAGAGATTTGATCTACACTTTGAGGAACCCAAAGTCCAGGGTATAGAGTACTGACTTCTACTATCAATTTGTGAAATCCACGTGTTTGTTAGGTTACTTCTTAGTAGTTAGTTTGTGCTCCAGGACTTCTGCAGTTATAATGCGAACTTCTCTTTTGCTTTCTCTTACCCCATTGGTCCATCTGGTTTTGATGTATGCAGCAAGAAATAGCTATTCCCTTCAAAACTTCCATACCATTTCTAGGTTTGAACTTGGACATCAAACTAAGTTGTTTTAATGTTTTATGGCCAAAACCATTCTGGTTTCTCTCAAGGGATTTTTCTAGTACCACTTTGTGTATGGGAATGTTAAAAACTTTTAGATTTTGATGATTTGCAAGCACAGGTCATAAATTCCAAATATTTAACCATTGATGATTGAAGTATTTTGTATGGAACACATGTTGATTACAATGTCTAATACAGTGAATAATGGAATTCTTTAGATTTCATCCATTTTATTAGTTGTATATTTGCTTCTTTTTATGGCACTTCTTTATGACTGAACTTCATAGTTTTTTAACTTATTGATACTTTGGATTATCAGAGACGGGCTGCGACCCTGTGGCGTCAAATTGAGGCAACCTTTAAGCAGATGGGCACTGCAGGAACTGAACTGGAATGTTTTCAAGCATTGCAAAAGCAAGAGAAGCTGGCAGCCAAACACAGAATAAATGATCTCTGG